ACTTTTCTCGAAAGTGTTGAAAAAACTCGAAGATATCTCCAGAAAGAAGGGTTTGCTGGAAGAGTAGAAGGTGATGTGTTGGAAGTTTTTGAGGGAGTACGTAAAAATGTTGCGTCGGAACTGAGAGAGATAGTTCAAAAACCTATTACGCCTTTTCTACCGAAAAAACGTGCGCGTGATATGCAAGAAAGAGAACTTGATGTCACGAATGAATATTTGATGAATTCAGTGACCGATGCTTCCGATATTTTCGAAAAAGTAACTTTTCCGTCATACTATAACAAACTTAAAACTATCTGGAAAAATCAAGATTCTGAGTCAAATTTTTACGTACTCGATTTAGGGGATGAAGACTCATGGAAACAGATATATAGTGTTTTGGATGAGGGTGAATTGGATTCGTTGCATGAAAGGTTAACATTGGAAGATGAAGAAAAATTCATAAGTGAAAAGACGCAAGAGTATTTAGCGTTTTTTGATGATATTGTACCCGCTCAATCGAAGGGAGACGAAGCAGTTGATAGTTATCTTGTGGATGATGATGATTACAAGACTATAGAAAAAAATAGTGAAGTGGAGAAAATAGTACATCAATTGGGCAGTGTATCCGAAAAATATCACTATTTATCCAACTTCTTTCCTATGCCGGCGGACTATGATCAACCCAAAATGCCTGATTTATTTATTGTCAAGAATATCTCCAACCATTTTGACATCATCACAAAAATGAATGGTGCCATGAATAAAACTCCTGAGCGGACATGGACGGCCCATGTATTAGCATACATTTTTTTTATCACTTGTTGTTTTATTGACTCGTCGCAGTATTTTTCATGTGAAAGAGACATATCTACAAAGATTGATATTCAAGATTATGGTTATAAAGCCGATGGTGTATTAGAGCTTTTCGAGCGACCCAAACAAATTCCATTGTTTTTGCTTGAAGTGTCGGAAGGGCCTAATAACCCGGATCCAGACAAGATTAATGATGATAGGCGTAAATTATTGAATGAGGGAGTCTTTGGCCTTAATAAACTTATGTTAAGTCCACGAGCAAGTTTCGAGGCTGAGAGGAATATTATAAAAAAAAAAAACAAAATATAAAAGTAAGAAGTATTTATTTTTATATTTCTGCTGATTTTTTGCAATAGATCTAAAATATTATTATCTCGGGATATTTGAGCGGAAATTGGTTAATCTCCTCGCTAATAAAGCTTTCAACAACAGATATAGGAAATGAAATATTTGTGTCGAAATTTGTTAACTTCGGAAATTAAGAATCATATTAATTAAGCTTTCCTATTGCAAAACATTTTTTCGAATATTATACTGACAGTATATGAAATATTGCTTGAAAGAGGTTTATACGACCAAATTCGAATCCATATTTATATTATGACATAACAGGATAAATGCAATATTTTAATATAAGAAAATAGAAACATAAACTCATGCAGAATCCTGTATTCCCCTACCACGGCCCCTCCCCCTACCATTCACTTTCTTTCCTTCTCTCGATATTTTTGGCAGAAATTCTGCGAATGTCACAGCCCTTCGCCATTCTATCCAAAATACCGATATTGGGGACAAATGAAATCGGATTAGAATTAATGTTGGAATATTGTGTTAGCATATAGATAGCTTAGAGCCTCAGATGAGCGAACACCCGCAGGCATTAGCATAGAAACTTTATTTCACTTTATAAAACAAGTTTATATATTACCGAATCTTGTAATTTATTCTTTTACATCAATAAATCAATAATTCCGATGAGGATATTACCTCGTTTTTTATCTATGCTAACAAACTTTTGAATTATTCAATCTCATATAAAAAATTATCATCGAACATGCAATCCAACGATTCATTAAGGGAATTAAATGCCAAGCTCTTGAGTGAGATTGCCAAACTTAGGAAGGAGAATACTGAAATTCCTGAACTTAGAGAAATAAAATTTGGTGAGGGCATGGGACCCCCCTTCTTTATTTAATATTTTTTTTTGCCGGAACGACGATATACAGATAAAAAAATAATTTTTATTTATATAAAAAATACAAATAAGAAAAATAAACGCCTCAAAGAGGCACCCTTAATGGGCTATGTTGGTGGGGTTTACATTTGATCTAACGCTTCTTGAGCATCACTAGGATTCATATCGCTCCAGTCATCATTTTCTATACGTCTTCTTAAAGATGCCTCCGAAATTGGTGTCCAGTAATCACCTCTCTCAATATAATATTCATCGTCTTGTAGATACCATAGGTCGAATTATCTGATTTAAATAAAATTCTACTACATAAGTATTCGTATGCTTCGAGTATATCTAAGAAGGTGGAATTTTACTTACCAT